CATGTAGCAAACAGGAGTCCCCCTTTTACACTATCCAAGTTCTATAAACCCTGAAGGGCTTCCTGTATTTCCCTGAATAAATACACATTTCTGCTGAAGATGAAGCTTACTGATAAAAATGCAGCACCTTGGCTCTTGTTGGGATGTTCCAGTTTCAGATGTAGAGTGCAGGGTAGAGACAGAAACAGGGACCATTTGTAATGACTTCACCTCTTCATTTGCCAACAATTATCAAAGAATGAATGCTTCTTGAGTGAGAGTCCAGAAAGAGTTAAGCAAAGACAGCATCAGTAGGGAATACCGAATACCAAACAATCCTTTGTCATGTATTTAAATGTAAATGATTCCTTTACATTATTCTTAATATCTTTCAGATGTATCATTAGCCAGGAAAAAAAGTATCTCAAACAGGTAAGGCAAAAAACTTAGTGAGAGTGATTCTTTTGAATGTGACTTGGAATAGTTTACAGAACCCAAAATTTCTGCAGGATGATTGTCAAAACCCATGGATAAAACTTTTATGTGATTTATTTCCAATTTAGTATCTGTAATTCAGTAAGATAGTTATCAAGTTGTATCTAGAAATACTTATTTCTGCTACAATTTATCCTCTTTTAATTTATTCCATAAAATCTTTAATAATTTATATGTCATATAAACAAAGTCTAAAGTAACATATTGGCTGCCATAACAACTAATTTTTAGCTACACACACACACACATTTATATATATTGTATATATGTAAATAGTATATATATATATATATATACACACACACACACACACAATATAAAATGTGTATATATATACATACACATTTTTCTTTCATTAAATATATAGCAAAAGTGTGAACATTCTTAATACCACTAAAAAGACATCCAATAAGAATTGTGTCATATAGTTAAAATTTGTTTTTCAAAATGTGTACCTATTATTTTTAGCAACTCGGTTCATTTTTATAGTTTTTGATTAAATATATCAATAATAGATATAATGATAACTCTTTTCAGAGTATTTTCAATATCTAGAGCCTTTAACAACAGGAAATGAAACAAAATTCTAAAATTTTATATATATGTGTGTGTTATGTATATTTTATTTATAAATGATATATATGTTATGTATATAAGTGATTTTAAGAGACTTTACAATAAAAAGATGTAATGTTAGGAATCACATTTGTGAAGGAATTGGACTGAAAATATGACCTCAAGGAGTAAAAGGAAAGATGCAGCCATTCTGAACATTCAAGAAAAGGTTGTTCGTTTAGTTGTGGTGGACATGAAATCATTATAGCATTTAAAGTCCTTTGGATATAGCTGAAGGAACCATCGAAGAGTTCTATTCTTAAATGGCAATATGCACACCATGCAGAAGTCATATTCCTTAAAAATATTTATACTTACAAAAGACAAAAAAGATATCAATTTTTAAATGTGCAAATGAACACAGAATTTTTCCAACGTCTTTCAGATGGAAAGGGAGGAAAAAAAAATAAAAGACCATGAGCAGGGAGGATCTCCTGTGGCCAATACAACTCTCAGGTCCCTGTGAGGCTGACCAGGCCTATGCTATCCAGCCTCAGTGACTTTTATTTTCTGAGACTCTCAGAGAGCTATTTAAAAAGATTAAAAAAAAAAAAAAAAGACTGAAAGGCTATGTGCAGGCATGTTTGTAGTGTATCAGTGTTTATTTCTTGATGGCAAAATTAGGAATGATTTTAAAAACTTCCTTCATTTTTATATTATTATTTGTAACATGGCTATGTGTTATTTTAAAGAAAGAAAAAAGAAGTTATTTTTAAATGTAGATGCAGCAGACTTAGGAGCAAACCTCAACTCAGAGACGCCAACTTCTCTAGTCCTGTAAGATCCCACCCTGCTGTCAACTGAGGCTGGGATGTTGGGATGCTGGCAAAGGGGTTAGTGTCGCAGTAGTCATGGGTCATGGGGGAATGTGATTTCCCTGTGAGTTTATACACAAAGGCAATGGAGCTTCACCCTCATATGCGGCTGTTCTTTCATCTGCTGTTCTAACTAATTTCAAAGAAGAAAAAAAGAATTGTTTTAATGCTTGATACCTGGCAAGGAAGAAATCTTTTCTTGTTTCTTGTTTTTGTAAAAAGCCCTTAAAAATCAAGCCAGTAACTGTCCTTTCTCCTTGTGCAATAATTTTGAGTCAGTTTTCTAATTATAAAATTTGTCAAGTTCTAGGACATACTTTATAAAAGCATTTTTTAAACTGCTACACTGGTTTAACAGTAATCTAATTTTTGAAAGTTTTTTTTTTTTTTTTTTTTTTTTTTTTTTTTTTTTTGAGGTGGAGTTTCGCTCTTGTTACCCAGGCTGGAGTGCAATGGCGCGATCTCGGCTCACCGCAACCTCCGCCTCCTGGGTTCAGGCAATTCTCCTGCCTCAGCCTCCTGAGTAGCTGGGACTACAGGCACGCGCCACCATGCCCAGCTAATGTTTTGTATTTTTAGTAGAGACGGGGTTTCACCATGTTGACCAGGATGGTCTCGATCTCTTGACCTCGTGATCCACCCGCCTCGGCCTCCCAAAGTGCTGGGATTATAGGCGTGAGCCACCTCGCCCAGCCTTTTTCTTTTTTTTTTTAGAAGGAGTCTTGCTCTTGTTGCCCAGGCTGGAGTACAGTGGCGTAATCTTGGCTCACTGCAACCTCTGCTTCCCAGGTGCAAGCGATTCTCCTGCCTCAGCCTCCTGAGTAGCTGGAATTACAGGCACCCACCACCACACCCAGCTAATTTTTGTACTTTTAGTAGAGACAGGTGTTTCACCATGTTGGCCAGGCTGCTAATTCTTGACCACAGGTGATCCGCCTGCCTCGTCCTACCAAAGTGCTCGGATTACAGGCATGAGCAAAAGAGATTTTTAAAAAACATTAATAACATACTCCTAAACACATTTTCAGTTAGATTTATCTTTTCTTTGCCTTGAAACCTTCACAGAGGCAGGGCATTATCGAAAAGTTATGCTTGTTCAGAGGCTCTAAGTAACTGCTAAAGATAATGAAGCTAATAGAGAAGCATAAATGGGAAGAAAATGCCTAATCCGTATACTTCACACCGATGAGAGCAGAAAGAAGGCTGTGGTAAACAGGGAAAAGAAGGTCCATATCTTTACATCTTCATCATCGTATGAGGCCTCAACATTTTGCAATGCATTTAAGGACCACGAAGAGTTCACATCCTGGTTGGATGTGATTCTTCCCCTCTTTGAGCCACTAGCCCGCTCCTCACTCCGTGAGGTCATACCTAACATGATGGTTACTACACACAGATCTTTTCCATTACCTTGGATTATGAACTAATTGAGGACAGGATTGCTGACTGAATTGTCTTTGTATTTTGTACTACCTCGCCAGCCTCATCCTCAACTATGCCTAATTAAAAAAAAAAAAAAAAAACGGGTTCAAAAGGTGTAGGCAAATGGATTAATGAACAAATAAAGAACAAAATAGTCTTCCCAGGTTTAGAGAAAGTGTGTAAACAAGGATACAGTAAAGGAAACAAGAAATTAAGAGGTGAAATTAATCAAAATTAGTAATATAGATTTTGAAAATGATTAAAATTAATCAGAGTTCAAAATGATTTAATTTGAATCAGGTGAACTTCTCTGTGTCCTAGGAGTCAAGCGAAAAGTAGTAAGAATCTAAGACAGGGTTGGAGAGGACCATTTGCTTGTCTTGCCCTGTTAGCTACCAGACAGCTGGAGGAAAACACCTTCCTCCACCTTGGGCGTTTCAGTGGTCCTTTTCCTCCTCCTCCCCTTTCTGGATAGACAGGACCTGAGGATAGAGGGACACATGACATCTGATACTGAGGTGAAACATCAGTGACAGTGGCACCAAGAAGCTGCCCAGGACAGATTGGGCTGCAATCCCTCAAGCAGTATAGAAACAAGCCTTCTCACAGCATTCAGAACAGAAAAAGTAAAACCAATATTCACTTTTGTAAAACATTGTACTTGATGAATCCAACCTGTTTCCAACCTGCATTATTTGGTAAAGAAGATAAGCACATCATAAATATCAATAACACGTGGTAAAAGGTGATGGGCACTAAAAGTTAGATCGAAACTACCTCAAACTGGCAGAGGGCATTTAGAGATACCTGTGAGGAAGATCTTGGGCTAGGGATGTAAGCTTTCATCCTCTCCAAATGTAGCACAGCCATACGGAGAATGGCAGCATCTGACACCATTTATCTCTCCAGATACCTCTTACTAAGAGATGGACTGCTCAGAGTTCTCATTTCCCACTATTTCATATCTACAATCTTTCGCTTTTGCTGGTACCTTGGCCTAAAATATCTTTTCCCTCATTCTCTGACTTCCAAAATTTTACTTGTTCTACCATATAGAGCTGAAATGCCATCTTACACATAGCTTTCCTGAAACCTGATAGGAATGAAATATTGTCTTCTCTGAACTTCCACATTATGTTGCTTTTACCTCTACCTGGTAGTTTTGTTTATATTTTTATTCAGGTGAGCATTTGTCTCTCAAGTCAACTGTAACTCCCTTAAGTTTATTCTTCTTTCTGACCTCAACAGCATCTATCACTGTGCTCTGAACATAGAAATAGTGCTTTAGAGAAAAAGCCTGGGCTTTTCAGAGCACAGCATACCTGGATTCTGAACCCAGCTCTGTCATCTCCCATTTGTTGATCTTGGGCATTACCGCAACTTTTTATGCCTTCATTTACCCATCTAGACAGGAACTAATAATATCTTCTCAAGGGGGATGGATAAAGATTAGACATAATAAGTGTGAAATGTCTGGAAGAGATTAGAGCATCACTAAATGGTAGCAATCACAACTTTTGCTACAATGATTATAATAAAGAGCTTGTTGGGTAAAGCTATAAAATTACCTAGTGTCCACAGTAACTAGGACAGTGCTGAGTACATGGTGGAAGCTGGTAAATATACCTTGACTCTAGCTTGTGGATGGCAAAGTGTCTATTGTCAATGACCTACCTTGAACTCTTTCTCAATATTGGCCAGCACTGCCAGTTCATTGCTAAGTTCTAAAGCCGTCATGACTGGATCTTCACTAGACAATGACAGGTAAGCTGGACTTGCCAGGCCTTTATAGGCATTAATCCTAGATCTGGAGTGGCTAAATGAGTCATGCTTCTGTTTCTGGTTGCAGTCATTGCACTTGCAGAAATAATCATGAGGCCGTTCAATCCTAGCACCCTTCCTCAGGAGGGTATGCACGATTTCATATTCCTGGCAGTGGGCGGCCAGAATGATTGGAGTCACATCATGGGAGAACCGGGTCCCATCTTCATCATAGGCATAAAAGTCATCTTGCTGGAGTTCCGATTGGCTAGGACTGGTTGCTAACCTCTTGCCTTCAGCAAAAGCTGGATGACTGAGAATCGCTTCCACAATTCGAACATAACCTTTACTAATGGCTAGCAGCAAAGCATCCCCAACCCGAGAGAGGTTTTCTTTCTTGAGAAGTAGTTCTGTAATTTCCAGATGCTCGTTGGCCACTGCCAATTGCAGGGCATTTTGGCCCATGTAATCCACACAGTTAACATTGAGCGAGAGGCATTCTTCTAACATCTTCCGCACCACTGGGATGTTACCATATTCAGCTGCATCTAAAAAGCGTTCCTCCTCTATAGATAGGCTTGTTGAGCGATCACTAAACATGTATGCTGGTCCTCGATTCGCTAACCTTCTCCCTTTCTCACGGAGAACTGTCTGCCGCCGGTGAGTCAGTCTGTTGTCAGATCCCCGGCTGCAATAAAATAGAAAGATTGTAAACAAATCATATTAAGAGCATTTTAGTGTGCCAAATGACCTGCCATTCATCTAATACAATCCTCAAGTATATTAGATGTTGTCTCATCATCTCTAGACATATTATATTAAAAAATGAAGATGCATTTATTTATTAATGGATTCCAAGAACTTCACGTCTAAGAAAGCCAAACACTTTGCAGATTTTAACATTCCAGTTTGAGGTGGAGACTAGCAATTGCCATAATCACTCTGTGCCATTCAAATAGAAACTAATGTACATTTTTCAAATATAGATGGTATAGACTTAGGAAAGATGGACTCTCTTATCCATAATCAGTCACCAATGTGATAGAGAATGTAAGATTAATTTTTAAAAAGTAGAGACAATAGAAAATCCATTCAAGTTAACAAATATTTATTGAGTGCCTCTGATGCCAAGTCCAGGAACTATATTAGGTCCAAGAAAACCAACATACACTCACACACACACACACACACACACACACACACACACACATATATATATATATATATATATACACACACATATATACATATGCTTTTTCCTGCTTCTGGATCTTCACTAGAAGATCCAGAAGCAGGAAAGATTCAAGTCTTATAGACTAAAGAGAGAGATGGGCAATCAGCACATTGCTTGTTATCAGCTGTTTAATTATGGTGATAAGCCAATAGCGGGACATCTATCCCAGATTCTGAGAGAAAATGACATGCTGAAAATGGAAGGATGAGTAGAAGTCGGGTGAGAGTGTGTTTTGGGAGGGTGAGACAGGGGTTGGGTATAGGTTGAAAGCTTTCTCTAGCAGGGGTATCAGCTAGATGTTAGAGTAGAGGTTTCATTGACACAGGCAATAAGTGCTTGAACTCTGTTGTCTCAAAAATCACTGCAAACTGGAGAAAATTGTGATGCAGGTGCCAGGCAGGAAAAAACACTCTTATGGTACAGGAAGTAGTCAGAGCAGTGGCCAGCCTTCAATGCAGTCCTTCAATCTGTGATAATAAGGGAAAGTATTTGGGTGCTATGGCTCGCCCCTGTAATCCCAGGACTTTGGGGAGCCAAGGTGGGCAAATCACTTGAGCCGGGAAGTCAAGACCAGCTTGGACAACATGGTAAAACTCCATTTCTGCAAAAAAATAGAAAAATTGATGGCGCATGGTGGCACAAGCTACTTAGTCCCAGCTACTTAGGAGGCTGAAGCAGAGTATCAACTGAGCCCAGGAGGTCGAGGCTGCAGGGAGCCTTGACCATGCCACTGCCCTCCAACCTGGGTGAGAGAACAAGATCCTGTATTTAAAAAAAAAAAGGGAGGGGGGAAGTGATTCTTCCTCTGATCAAAATTCTATAATAAATATTTTTTCCTTATTAATTCATAACTTTATGTCTTAAGGTCTTTTGAGCTTGAAGGGATCTCATTACAATTAGATGTTCAACTCATATTGGTATCACTAACTGAACCCAAAGAAGACATGTTTTGCAAAACTGGGGAAGGGCCAGGTTATAAGGGAGGCTAAAGAGAAAGAAAAGTGTGATAAATGAGTATTATTTCCTCTCTCTATGAATGTTCCAAGATTCATCTCTCTTTAAAAACTGTCACAAACTTCCCCGTACAAAGAGGACAATAAAAAGATCCAAGGACCCCATAAGCCATGTTTCCCTCCAATGTAGTCAGGTCTGGAGAATCTTAGTTGCTTTCCCTACTAGTCTTTATCAACCTTGATTCCACATCTCCAGACAATGTGGTCTGTGGCAGTGTGATGGCCAGCAATAGAAAGGAAGATAGTAAAGTTTCAGCAACTCACACATAGATTTTCTTCTTGGAGGAGCTTGAAGAGTATGCCACCATATTACAAATATTTTTCATAGATTTTCATTCAATAGTGATTCCTTTAGCTATCCAAGTCCTCTCTAAAACCAACCAAACTGATGTTTTCTTAAGAGACAACTTTGTAAATTTCAAAAAAAAAAAATAATAATAATAATCAAATAACATGAAGGCCAATATCAAGTTATATATGATATGATAATAACTTCTAAAATGGGTCATTAGATAATGTATGTGCAACTTTTATTAATTATATGGGAACAGCATCTGTAACTATTTTGTCCTGTAGCTATTACTTTATTTTTAATTCCATTTTAAATTCTATTAAAGTTATACATGTGCATATTTTAGTTTATTCTCTCCATGTCTTGATCTCCAGAGGTAAACATTTTAATTTAACTATTTTAGGTGTTTTCTAAAATAATTTTAAATGTTGTAATCACATAGGTTTGGTTATATTTTTACTTCTTGATTTTTCAGGTTTGGCATTACCTATGGACTTCCCATTATAGCACACCCTCACATTTCTCTCTCTCTCTCTCTCACACACACACACACACACACACACACACACACACACACGCACACACACGTAGACCCCCTTCATGGTTCCTTATCGTTCCAGTATTGTTATATCATGACTATTTTTTAGGTAACTATTTACTGTTTACATTAAGACAATGCAAGTGCTAATCATAGCTAAGCAGTATACTACTGTGACTTTCAGGTACAACTTCCCTGCAAGCTGAAACCTAGTAGGTAAAAATTCTCATTTGCTCAGTGCTCTATATACATATGACTAATTCAATCAAACTCTCTTCTCCATCAATGTAAATCTTATTTTAATATATTCAACATATTATGTGGGTATTTCTTTTTTCAATTTTGGAAAATCTGGACCAGCTACTGTCTAGACTTAATGCATGTATGTTATCTCTGAATCTTCCTTTTGGTATCATTCCAAGGATTCTCTTTGCTTTGCTTTTGTATTGGGGTCCTTGTTTTCTGTACCCCAGATCTTCCTTTTTCTGATTGGACTTCATTGTTCTAGTACAGGACATCTGCAAACAGCTGACTAATAAAACATGCTTAGGTAAATTTTTAAAGGTGTACATCTAAAACTGACTTCATCCTGCCTTTAAACTGAACTGATAGTTTGGCTGGGTAGAGAATTCAAGGTTGAGGATAATTTTGGAGGCCTTGCTCTATTAAATTATAGTTTTGTGGCTACTGAGAAGCCTGATGCAATTTTGATTATGGGTATTTTCTTTGTCTCTGGTGTTCTAAAATTACATGGTTGTTTATTGAAGGGAGTCTCTTCTCCTCCATACTGCTACCCATTTAATATGGAAAAAAAAAAAGGTGTTCTTTTCTAAGACACATTCTTGCCCTATTTATCTGATAATTTTGTTTTTTTGCTTTCAATGTACTATTTCTGGAATTCCTTCTTTTTCAATGTTGGACATCCTGGAATTGTCCTTTAATTTTCTCATCTTTTCTATTTCCAATTATTTATGTTCAATATTGTTTATTATATTCTGAGAAATGTCTCCAACTTTATATTTATGAAAATTGTTTATATTTTTAGTTTTCAAAAACATCTTTTTGATTTTCAAATGTTACTTTTCATAAGACTCTTTTGCTTTTAAAGGCACAAAAATTTTCTCTTCTCCCTCTGGAGATGTCAATGATAAAGATTTGTGATGAAGTCCATAATTCAGAGAGCTTAGTCCCGAGTTGCTTTTCTGTGTTTGTTTGCTGTGGTCTCTGTAATTCATAGTAGAATTTTTCCTCATAGATCTAGTGATTCTTAGTAGATATTCTTTGCTTCTTTTTAAAGAAATATTCCTTATAATGTCTTTTCTAAGAGACTATAATTTCCTCTTTTAAAAACTAGACTGAAACTAATGTTAGTTTTGGCAAAAGGTGATTCCTGAGTTAGGAGTGAGTGAGTTTCTAGAAGAACCGTATTATTTCTGAGTTAACAATATGTACGATGTAGAAGAGACAGGAGATCATCAAGGTTTGTTACGTGAGCAACCATCCATCATCTTCCTGTTGATTTCTTATCCCTCTTCCCTTTTTTCTGTCACTTTTCTGGCTTTTACTTCTTATTTTTAGCCTTTTAGTTCCTCTCTCATCTTAACTTCTTTAGCCTTTTAATTCCTCTCTCTTGTCTTCTGTATTTATTGCTTTGCATATTTCCTATTGTAGACAAGAGGAAGTTCAAAGATTGGGGGAGAGACAGTATCTTCCAAACATGGGGAATACTTTGAAAAAGAAAAAATATAAAATTAAGGGAAAAACAAAATAGGATCAGGCATCTATAAAAGTAAGACGAAAGTACTAGGAGTGAGAACTTGCAAGAAAAGTTCTCACATAACTAAAAAAATGACAAAAAATTGACACAAAATAGTAGCACATACCAAAACATGAATAACAAGCCTCCATTTTTTTATCTATTAAAATGGAGGAATAATTATTCTGACCTATCTCAAAGGACTATTTTCAGAGCTAATTGAAATTATGAATGCGGAAAGCATTTTAATTTGGATTTAATTTTTTCACAACCACATCAATAAGAATAAGCACTTATATAGTACTTACAAACATAAGGACACTTTGACTTTATCACTTTTTTAGCTGTTATTCAGTTAGAAGACCGTGAGAAAGGCAAGAACTGAGATGGTAATTGATAAAAGTTGTTTGCCTTTTTTTGTCTTTTTTTTTAGACAGGATCTCGTTCTGTTGCCTGACTATAGCCACAACCTCCCAGGCTCAATCAATCCTCCTTCCTCAGCCTTCTGTGTAGCTGGGACTACAGACAAATGCCACTGCATTCAGCTAATTTTTGTATTTTTTGGTAGAGATGGGTCTCACCATATTGCCCAGGCAGGTCTCAAAACTCCTGGGCTCAAGTGATTCTCTCACCTCAGCCCCCCAGCATACTAGGATTACAGGTGTGAGCCACCACGCCTGGCCTTTTTTTGTCTTTTTAAAGAAGGAAAAATAATAATTAGCAACTTTACTTATATCTCAATTTTTAATCTGGTTTAGAAAATTTTATTTTTTCATCCAATACTAAGCTTACATTGAGCTAGATAGAATAAGTCTGAGTTGTGGCATCTTTTATTCTAAAATTTAAAAATAACAATCTATGATTTTCCTACCCATTTATTTGAAAAATGACAAGTTCTATCTTAGCAAGCCACTAATCCTAAGGATGTGTCCTATTTCCTTCTAAATTACTATGGCCTTTCTAGCTATAACTTCTTGAAGGAACAGCAAAGATATTTTCACAGATTTTTTTTTCCATCTTAAAGCATCTTCTTAGTTGTTGTGACCACACATATTAATCATATGCAATAATACAAGTTTCAGATATATTTTTATGAAAAGACCTAGATTATCATAATCTTTTTAGCACTCTGTCAACAGTATCTCAATCTGTGACAGAGTTACAACTTTGTCATTCTGTATCTGAAAAGCCAGAAAGTATCAATACATTTTTGTTTGTTTTTGATTATTTTAGGAATATTACAAATGCAGGCACAATGAATTCAGCACCCCTTGCATGAGCAGTGAGACACAGTAAAAGCTGCTTGCATGTTCACAGAACAAAACGCATGCCTTGCTGCTCTCCTTATCTTTCTTAACTGCAGCCTGGAGAAGCAATAAAAGATACCACTCGTATTTTTATGTCATGAGTGGTATTGCTTAATCCCCGCCTCTCCTATGCAAAAGCAAAATGTGTAAAACAACTTTGTAAGTAACAGATATTTGAAACAAATTCAAGAAAGATACTAGAAGTTACTAGATTTTACAAACCTCTCTGCAAATGGTTTTGAAAAACTATGTTGTAGAATTTTACATCAATAGTAAATGAAATGCAGTCAAATCATCTATTAAAAAGAGGAACATCTCGGTCCATAGCTCCACGGCACTACTTCAACAAGACACATTTTCATTTCAGCTGAAGAGCACACTTTTCAAAGTCAGCTCTTCTATTTAAAAAAATATTAAGAAATTTTATTCACCCGTTTAGCCACATTTAACATGGTTAAAAGCTTAATGGCCTACATTTTCATGTCTGTATTTTTATAACTTGTTTAAAACAACATACAAATACTGGTTCTAGGAAAGAGTATAATTAGCCACCACCCCTATGGCACTCAGATATAGATAAGATCATGAAAACCATGTTTTTACATACCTCATTTTCCTGATCCTAATAGTGCTTGCTGCCCCAGATAGTGAGAGATGGAATAATCCATCTCTATTGAAAATGCCAGCAATGCAAATTAGCTTCTGAGTAGAGTGGATTGCATGCTTGAGTCCAGCATAGGCAGTAATTTTCTCTACTTCCTGTCCAACTAAGATGCACTTTTATCAAATGGAAGTGCTTTTATACAAACTAAGCTTCATATTAAGCACCCAGCTTAACTTTGACTTTTTGCTTTAAAAATCCTTACAAACATTTTAAAGCACAATTCTACCACAGCAGAAGTGTTAAAAATGTAAATGGAATGTAACTATTCCAGGCAGTGTGGTCAGCCACAAGAGTAATGTAGATTCATCCTAGGAAAGTAGAAATAAAAGAAATTCCAGAATTTGCATTTTATTACATGCACAATTATCTATGTGAATAATTAGACTCGGATATTTAGAGATTAACATTATATACAACTAGCAAGTTTGCAAACCACTTCGGGGAGATGAATGAAAGAAGTCATTTTGTTCTCATTTTACAACACAGACACTTTTTACCCCGACTACTTAATCTCTGGACACACACCCTAGGCCCTGCCTCTGGGGTTGAGGAAGCAATAAACAATTAGGGTGGTTTTCCTTAGTTCTATGAGAGAAGGATGATTTTGTCTTCTTCACCACTGAGTTCACCCCTCTTTAGAGAGGGACACGTTGTAAACTCTCAGTACATAACTGCGGAATACATGGATCCCTCCTGTCAAAGGAATAAAGTTCAAGGCCTGTTTGTTCCCTATTAACCTGACTGAAAGTGACTACAATGTACAACCTTCCACACAAAAAAAGAACAAAATATAAAGGCTGAGCCACACTGTGTTCTGATGTATATGTAGTATGTTATGTTCATTTCAAATAAGTACTGAGTTCAACAGGGGACAAAGGAAATTGAAAGCCATGTTTTTAATGGCATCCTTGTGACTTTTTCATGATCTGGAAGCAGAGATTTTCATGACTTTAAAGGAAGAACTAGGGCTGGGAGCAGTAATTCATGCCTGTGATCCCAGCACTTTGGGAGGCCGAAGTGGGCGGACCACCTGACGTCAGGAGTTCGAGATCAGCCTGGCCAACATGGTGAAACTCTGTCTTTACTAAAAATACAATAATTATCCGGGCATGGTGGTGAGCACCTGTAATCCCAACTACTTGGGAGGCTGAGGTGAGAGACTCATTCGAATCTGGGAGACAGAGGTGGCAGTGAGCTGAGATTGCATCACTGCACTCTAGCTTGGGTGATGTAGAGCAAGACTCAGTCTCAAAAAACAAAACGAACAAAAAAATAAAGACAGAACTGATATTTTCTCACCCTGCTCTCTCCCGATTCTTTACATTATACATAGACTGTGACCACCCATCTTCACAATACACTACCAAATCCCTTGCACTTCCAGATAATCTTCTAGATAGTAATTCATTTTGATTCAATTAGTTTCAATTTTCCCCATGAATTCTTCTCATTTCTTCAAATACTAACTTTCTGTTTGATCAGTCACACTACATCATACCCTGCCTTAGTGTTCTATGAATGAAATGATACGAGCCTGAGCTGCTTGTCAGTTTCAGTTGGGAGCCAGCAAAAATATGACTGAAAAATGTAGGATGCATGTAACAAATTGTATGATTTCTAATTTGTACAAACAAGATGTCAATCATCAATTGACATCTTGTTTGTGCAAATCAGAAATCAAACCGTGTGAGAGAATGAAATTGTGGGTAAATAACGGAAGTTATAGAAACTTGCCGTTTTATAAAACACTGTCTGAAATGTCATTGTTCCCTTTTAGCTTCTCCTTGGTGGTTTAATTTATTTCATGCGTCATATCTTCCTACTTTGAAATTCTCTTTGGAAGAGCTCTGGGACCAGACATTTGTGGTGAGAATAATTAAGGACAAGTTGAGGGAAATTGAGAACTGAGTCCTTGGGGATCTGAACTTGAGAAAACTTTGGGGAACCTTGCAAAATATTGGGAAGAACTAAGCTCTAAGAACAAAACAGGGTACTCTTGGGAATATTAAAAAGTTTCTGTGTAATATCAGCAAACTATATCCAAATTATCTCATCGAAGGCAGAGGTTTAAATTCTTTGCTTCTATTATCAATGACGGTCATTATCATGTGTATTACACAAGCCAATTCCACAAATATCCTCTGCATAAGATAGATTGTGGGTCGGGGGAAGCACGCTTCAATTTTTGGGCAATTTAAAAGTTTAATGAAAGAACTGTAAGAGTATGTGTGCAGAAGTTAGGGAAATCCAATATGGCACCATGCAGTGCCCACATTTGAGACAATGCAGGCTTAAGTCTGTCTGAAGGGGCATAATGACAGAACAGTTACCAGAACAGGAGAACTATAAGCCAAGGGACACTTGACAGTGGCCCTGACCTGGTGACAGCTTACCATCAGAGAGAGACAAGGGAACTGATACTCTGACCTTACTCTCTTGATCTCCAGTGCGTCTGATGGGCTGAACTCAGCCCATTGCTAGGGGGCAAAGGAGCCCATTGATGCAGTCTACACAGGTCTGCATTAGTGCTGTAGCCACAGGCAGAGAACAGTGTGCAAAGCATGAAGAGTAGGCCAAGAGGACTAAGCCAACAACACCCAGCATATGCTCTATATAAGACAATTTCACTTTGCCATAATTAACTCCTTGCTCGGGTGATGGATGCACTAAAATCTCAGAAATCATCACTAAAGAACTTATCCAAGTAACCAAATGCTTCCTGTTCCCTAAAAAAAACCTACTGAAATAATTTTTTAAGGAAATTTAAACTACCAGAAAGAGAAAGAAATTACTGATAAAAACTATGCATCCGAAAAATGGTAACTGCATCTTTTGATGTGTAACTGCTGCATCATCAGTTCACACCTTTCTGGGCTAATTTTTCCCTTCTTTAAGCTATCTGTCAGGAAAGACACTCACCCATTCAAGTTCATGCAATCCATTATCTTAAAAAAAATGAACTTGTAACTAAGATTCATCCATATAAATTCTAAATTAATGTTCATATGAGGCTTAGGACGAACAACTCTGATTTAGAGGGTGAGAATAATAATCTGATGTCATAAAAACATTCAAAATGTTTGTGAAGAGCACAAGCTAAAGCTGCTGATTCCCAGAGATAATGGCACTAAAGAAACAGACTTTGATAGGTCTGGAACATGCTCTAAATGTCCACAATGTGGGAGAGCTCCAAATGCTCACAGTACAGGTTTCAGTCTATATGAGACTGCTATGTGTAATAGAGTACATGGATAGAGAAACAGAAGGTAGGACCATGCAGCACATAGTTTTCATTTACTGAAACCAAAATCATGAAATGTCTTTCTTTGCTGATGTGGTATGATGTCAGACATCACTATCAACCATCACATCCACCACCACTGGGATCGTAACAGTTCATTCATTCATTCATTCATCAATTCAATTATTCACTGGACGTCTACTTCAACATGTTCTAGGCACTCTGCTAGGCACATGGGGGTACAGAAAAAAATAGGGCATGGCAGAAAAAAAGAGGAGCAAAAGATTACAGGGTTTTGAATGTTACCAAAGGGGAAATAGTGTGGTATATAAATGATTAGCAAGAAGTTTTCTACCCAATCTGGGAGTCACAAAAAGCATTCTGAGGATGTGTCACTTAGCCTAAGAATGAAGGAGAGTTAGCTGAGAGGTGGGAAGAGGAGACCCAGCCTGTAGGCAGAGAAAATCACAGTTGTATAAGTCAGCAATCCAGAAAAAAACCTGAAGAACGTTTATTACTGGGGGCTGGAACATATAAGAGTTCTCATCCCCAGTAGGATTTCTGGTTCCTGGCTCAGTTTAACTAAAGGTCTAGTGCTCAGGGTTAGAAGCTAAACATCCATTGATATTCACTGTTTAGCATTTAGCACTTCTAGACCTTAGCACTTCTACCCTAGGGCAGAAAGGTAAACATTTAGGTAATTCCTTAACAGCTCAGGATTCCAATTTAGGAGAGTCAAGCTTCAGGACTCACAGACTGGATTGCCACCCCAGTGGTTTTGTTCTGAGGGGTTTGGGCTTGTATAATGCACGATCTCAAGTGGGAATAATTATGGACAAATTGAGGGAAACTGAGAACCGAGTCCTTTGGGGCCTAAACTTGAGAAAACTTTGGGGAATCTTGCAAAATATTTGGAAGAACAAAGCTTTAAAGAAAGATAGGCTGAGCTGGGAATCCTTACTCTGTCAGATACTACCTGTGTCATCCCTCTGAACCTCGGATTCCTTAACTGTAAAAACCAAAAGGGAATGGCATCAAGAATAGCAGCTACCAGTTAGGGTTACCATGAAATTGGTGTTTTGTCGAATTCTGCTTAAGGTAACTCAATGCCTCATCTGTCATGGACTTCAAATCCTTCGTCATAATTATTTAAGACTTTCCAGTTTGAAAATGTTCTGCTTAATAAACGAAATAGAAACTAAGAAGTCATTAAATAGCTTCTCTTCTTCTAATGCCATCTGTTAAATTTGCACCATGTGCACCAGAACACACTTTTGTTTTTGTATTTTCCATTGTTGTGATGTCAGCATGGCTAAAAGGGCATTACGTTTTTAAACTTCAGAATACTCTGTGCTTGATTTTGCTACCACTGTTCTTAAAGTGTGTTCTATTCTTACACCTTCATCCCTGACTATATATTTCCCTTTCTCTTCTTACCTGTGTTCTTTAAACCTGAACTTATCTTTGAATTCCAGTGCCAAGCACAGAGCCAGGCACAAAATGTTTTATGCATCTACAAATGAATAAAAAAGCAATCGAAAGAGGAATACAAAAAGAAAAATGAATGGAGAGCACCCAGATTTGTCACAGTTTTAGAAGTTTATCAAACTATTTTACTCCATATCAAGAATATTTTTAAAAATTAGATAGAATTTCACTTATCATCAATAATCAAATGTTTAACAACATACCACACAAACTACCTCTACCGTCAGAGTTAGATTTTGCAATGAAGTGTACCAAGTAAGTTCTCAGTAGTAAAACTTATTATGTTTCCACAGTGTTTTTAAATAATTTTTATTTATCATAAGGTAAAATGTACTTACCCGCCCTAAGTAAAAATGAAATATAGCAATTTGGTGGAGTTTGATTTTGAGCATACTAATTGTGTCAGGTAAATTATAAGTTTGCTATATATTCACCCCTCTTTCTCCAGCTTTATCAATAAAAATATGATATAAACTTATGGGTACGTATATATTAAATTAATTTGACTAAAACTAGGAGGATGGAAATTGATATTTATTAAAAGTTTACTAGAACCAAATAACTTTATAGGTGTTACTTTATTTAATTTTCACAGCACTTGGTGAGGTTGGCTTTGTTATTTTGCTACATGAAGAAATGTTTGGAGATCACTCCTGAACAGGCAAGGCAACATAAGGAAAAGCATTTAAGGGTGTCTCTTGTTTTCTGAATTTCTTTTAAAATACAGCTGAAAAAAAAAAAAGCCGAGTTTCAATATCCCCTCCCCCAAAACTATGAACATGTGTGGACTCTCAACAATACCTAGAATTGGTTATGAACTGATATATAGAAACTTCCTTCTTAAGTTCATGCTGGTAATGAGTGGTAAAGCAAGACTGTAAAATTAGGTTTGCAGATGTCCTATTTCATTTTTTAAATCTTATTTTATTATTGTGAGGCATACATGCTGAAAAGAACTATAATTTTAAAAATAATAATAAAATTAGCACCATTTTCCTACCCATCCCCACTTAAGAACGAGATCACTGGTCACTTTGAAGACCTCTGCGTACCTATTTAAATTACTGTCTTCCCCTGAACTCCAACAACCAGCCATTACCTGGCTTTCATGTTAAGCATTCTCTTATTTTTTTTTTTTTTGAGATGGAGTTTCACTCTTGTTACCCAGGCTGGAGTGCAATGGCACGATCTCGGCTCACCGCAACCTCCGCCTCCTGGGTTCAGGCAATTCTCCTGCCTCAACTTCCTGAGTAGCTGGGACTACAGGCACGCGCCACCATGCCCAGCTAATGTTTTGTATTTTTAGTAGAGACGGGGTTTCACCATG